AGTCCATCTAGTGTACTTCATATCAAACTGAAAACTGTGTTTATATGATATACAGCTTCTTCACGACTTACAAACTGGTTACGGACCAGTTGTTCGTAAGTTGGAACCCATAGAGTTACATGCGACTGCGCTGTTTGTTTACGACAGCTTTGGTTGTAACTGCGAACGGTCATAAGTCGACCGTTTGCAACTCGGGGACCAGCTGTATGTCTATTCCACTCTGGATATTAAAGCATGTTGTCTTCTATTTGCAAAATGTTGTGTCAGATTTTTAGAGGCACATGGAGGAACTAGATTACCTGTAACACAGATAATTCCTTCTGTTATATACATATTCCTCCTGTAGTATGGCCTAATGAGGCAGTACCTTAATAGTGCTTAACTGCTTTGAATTACAAGATGACAGCTGAGTATGAAATAAACTGCATGTGATTCTCTATTTAAAAGAAGACACCTTATTAATTATATTCAACTTTATGCATCCTGTTCTTGCAACTTACTACAATATTGTTCTTTTTACAGGCCTCAGCCAATGTTCCCTCTAGTCTTTTTCAGCCATGTGCAGACTTTTCCCATCTATGTGCAGAATAAACTGTATGTGCATTGAAGCATCTGTGAATGGGCACCACCAGTAGAAATAAAAACCTAGAAGTGGGCACTGTGCTGATTAGCTGAGCGGCACTGGAATCTCTTCTGAGCAGATACATAAGCGCTCATCTTACAGGGAACACTGGAAGGGTAGAAAAAAGGAGGATTGATTTCCAGGTCTCCTTTTTTAATGAAAACTACAGAGGAGGGCACTGATGTCAGCGTGTCTCATTACCCCTATCCCTGTAGACCATCTTCACAGAGTGGGGAACATGACAGGTCTTGAAATGGAAGGAGCTTGCTAGCAGCTGCTCTTCTGTCTAAACATGCTCAATATACTTAAAGCGCCAATGTACATCTGTCACTCTCACACACTGTATGTGTGTGAGTCTCTGTCACTCACACAAACACATTTTGGCTTTCACATTCACCTTCTGATCCAACACATACTTTGTGGTGGTGGCATGCTTCTCTTACTTGTTTCAAAGTGTGTGATTTTAGATTTTTTTCACTGATTTGTGCATCTCAGAATTTTTACCTCTCTCTTATGCTTAAATTTAATTCTTTGAAATAAATAATGGCTAACCTGTCATGCTGGAATAATTATTCCTACTGTAATTTTTTATGAAGATATTGGTTTTTGGTTTCTACCGGTGGTACAAATCTGTATATTACCTCAGTATTGGTGCACATAACAAAAAAGTTATTTCCTCTAATTTTTGCCATCCGTGCAGTGGTCAGAGTTGGGATGTAAATACCCATTTAAAAAGTTAACTGGTTAAATGATATAATTTTAACTGGTTAATAGTGGAGGGCTGGTACATGATAGCTGGGGTCCAAGCAGGGGCTCCTGTGGCCAGAGTCCTGCCAGCCAGCTTGACACCAGCAAGGGGCTCCTCCAACCAGGCCCTTAGTGGGCAGAGGGCTGCTCCCTCTGGGCTAGTACCTCCGGTTAACCAGTTACCAGGTAAATATGCTGGTAATACTCTAACACTTACCATGTACCCAGATTGCCCACTAACAGTCTGGAAGCACAGTGGGGTTAAAGGAGGTTTCCACATGCTGCTCCTGCCCAAAGGCACCATCTCCGCAGCTCCCACTGGACAGGAGCAGAGAACCACAGGCAATGGAAGATGTGGGGGCAGTGCCTGTGTACAGGGAGGTAGTGTGCAGAACCATCTGCCTCTGTCCTAGGCACCCCGCAAGAACTGCTGCTAGACATGCCAGCCACTTTTTGGAGTGGGTAGTGCCAGAGCGGGGGTAAGCTTGCCTTAGACCCAGTATACCACTGCCCAAGAACCACCCGAAGCCTGCATCCTGAATCCCTACCCCAGCCCTGAACCCCCTCCTGCAACCACACTCCTTCCCAGGGCCTGCACCCAGAATCCCCTCCTGTATCTCAACCCTTTGCGTCAGGCTCAGCCTGGAAACCCTCCCACACTCCAAACCCTTGGCCCAAGACCACAGCCTGCACCGCCCTGCACCTAAACCTCCTGCTCCCGCATAGTGAAAGTAAATGAGGAGGAGGAAGGAGGGAGGATTGAGTAAGCAAAGCAGATCCTTAGAGAAGGGGTGGGGAAGGAGGTGGGGCAAGGGTATTTCGGTTTAAGGTAGATCCTGGATTGCATTTAAAGTCAGAAAGTGATTTTGTGCTTTAAAAGGTTGGAGACTACTGATCTAGACAGTGCTTGGTCCTGCCATGAGGGCAGGGGACTAGACTTGATGGTCTCTCAAGGTCCCGTCCAGTATTCTAGGATTTCAATAGATAGTAGCTTGTCAAACAGCCTAAAATCCAAGTGCATAAATTATTAAATATCTTGCCACTTATTCTCTTCACATGGCAACAGGAGATACTTTTCAAGGCAGATGTTAATGGATGTTTTTATCGGCCCAGTTTCTTTAAATCTTTCCAGATACTCTTATTTTCTAAGAAGAGTAAAAAATTTTGTAATGTTCATGTTTTAAGAAAATTTCCCCCTTGACTAAATCGGTTTCAGTAGTAAAGGCTGTATGCAAGACATTTTTCAGGTTTACAGTGACCAATTCATCTGTCTTGTTAAAACTAAACCTCACTGCCTTTATTTGTTAATTTGGAAGTTCATTCTTTGTGTCTCCTGGAGAAAGAGCAAATACTAATCTATTCTTAGTAAAAGCAAGTACTAATCTATTCTTCCAACACCTAAAGCAAGCAAATATGTTCTTAAACTGTCCAAAACCATGAAAGCTATATTTTTTTAACATAAGAAAATTAAGTGTATGTATGGGGATGGGGAAGTCTTTGAAGGAAAGATAATAAGAACATTTAATCTATATTCATTGAGACTAAGGATCTATTGGCAAGTTGCAAAATGATAATTCTTACAAAAAACTAGTAATAAAAACTAGGGCTGTCAACTGAAATGCGTTAACGCCTGCGATTAACACAGTCCAGGATTAACGCATTAAATTTTGTAACATGTTAATCTCAGGCATGAATCCTGCACTGCTCCTTTGAAGTGCCACCGTAGTGCTTCAAAGAGGAAGCGCAACTGACTTCATTTTTAAGAATAATCACGGCTAAGAACTATAAGCATATATATTATACAGTACATTACAGAAACCCTCCTGCGCCTCTATACAAGGCACGGGGTTTTTTTGTGGATACAGGTTGAATTTTCCAAATCTGGGACTCTCTGGTCTGGCATCATCCATGATCCTGCAAGGCCACAGATGTTGCTGGACCAAAGAGCCCCAGAGAAAGAAGCAACGTAGGGGCTGGGGAGTCCCAGCCGGGGAACCTCCAGTTGCAGTGGAGCTATTGGTGGCCGAGCGGGCCACAGCCAAGAGCTCCAGCAAACCCTCAGTGGGAGTGGAGCTGGGGTGACTGAGCAGCCTCTGCTGGGGAACACCCCATGGTTGGTGGATGTGGGCGGCCAGAACCCTCAGAGACAGCAGGGAGGCCAGATATCCCAGTTGGGGAACCCCCGGCAGCAGCAGGACTAGTGATGGCCAGGTGGCCACAGCCAGAAACCCCAAGGAACAGCCTTTGGCAGTGGGACTGGCAGCAGCCAAGCAGACTCCACTGTGAACCCCAGGAGACCCTGGGGCAGTGGGCAGGCAGCAGGGTGGGGAGCCATGCCAGGCTAGTGTTGGGGGCCAGCTACAGGGCAGGGAGCTCCAAAGAGAGGAGCCCAAGACTGGGGCAGCCAGGAGGGGAACACTGACCTCCCCCGTCTGACAAACTCCCTGATCCGGGACAGCTCAGATCCCAAGGGTGCTGGACCAGCAGATGCAACCTGTACTTCTTCACCCCCTGACAAAACCAAAATCAAAACTTACTGCATTGATACACCCTCTGCTAATACAAAGGAAAAACTGGGTGGAAAAACGTTGCCAGAGAGTACTTATCAGCCATAATACAAGAAACTTATAGCCTTGTATAGTTTAAGACAGTGGCTTCAGCAGTTAGCAGGAGGCTTGAGGCTTACAAACTGTGGCATAAATCAACTTGGGAAACTCAAATTTTGGAGAACTGGATGTAGAATGTTGGGGGATAGGAGAAGAAAAGGGAATTTTCCTCATAATGACAGTATCAGTCAACCACAGAACATGAACTGACAGCTGTGTCTGGAAGGTTTTGGCTAGAACATCCAACAAAGGTGCCATAGTAACAAATTGATGTACAGGTGGAACCTCTGTGATCTGGAACTCTCTGGTCTGGCAACATCCCTGGTAGAGTAGGAGCACATATGTTGCTGGACCAGAGAGCCCCAGCTGTAGAGATTGCCAGCAGCTGGCAGTTCTCAGTCTCCGTCATGAGCCATGAGCGATTAATTTTGACAATTCATGGAAGATGGGAGAGAATCCAGAGAACTGGAAAAGGGCAAAGATAGTACAAATTTATAAAAAGGAAGATAAAGATAATCATCTTAACTTCAGTAACCAGAAAGATAATGGAACAAATAATTAAGCAATCAATTTGTAGGCACCTAGAAAATAATAAGGAAATAAGTGACAGTCAGCATGAATTTGTCAATAACAAATCATGTCAAAATCAACCTAATAGCTATCTTTGACAGGATAACAAGCCTTGTGGATAGGGAGTAGTAGATGTGGTATATTCCACTGCAACCGTGTCTCTAAATGCAACCAAATAAGTTTTTACACATACTTGCTGTAAAGTATATTTTATTTAAATTATCCCCTTTGATAAAACGAACTGCTAACAAATACAGCTTCTTTCTTTAAAAAAACACACACACAGAGCGAGCATTTGCATTTAGAAAAAACAAAGCTACAATAGATTAACAAATATAGCTATTAAGTCAAATAATTAAGTATAAACATCTTGGAAGTCTGTTTATCTCTATTCAAAAATACCCACCAGAAAAAGAAAAAATAGCAAAGTTACCAGTTATGTCAAAAATACTTACTCTGAGCCTGCAGCCATTTCCAAATAAGACGTTTCTGCTGTGTCAACCCCAAGCGGGATCACTATGCTCATGACGTTCGTTTCTGATAAATTCGATTACTATGGAGTCCTGTGCATTGGTATCCAAAACACTGGGGCATTCCAGCCACAGTGCTCATTGCAAACATCTAAGTGCATCCACAAACCCTGTTTGAAAATAAGACAGAGACAACGAAACATTTTAAGCAGGCAGTTCCATATTGCATTGTAAAATGGCGCCCTGTGCTAAGACATCTTACAATAATTTCATTTTGTTATCAGTATAAAGTAAAAAATATTTTGTATTATGACAAACATTATAAAACTTTAAAATCTGCTTTATCAGAATGGGCTTTTTAAAAATAAATAAAAACCTTCAGAAGGATAGCTCTCATGTAACTTAAAATACTTCTGAAGGAAGCATTCTTCCCATACTTTTAATCAAATCTCTGAGGAAAAATCTCAACACAGAGAATGAAGGATCAAACCTCAGAGGAATAGCCTAGGCTTATCAGGTAGAATTGATTGCTCGCATTTCCCCCCTTGCAGCCTCTGTTGCTGAATAAATAAAAACCTTCAGAAGGATAGCTCTCATGTAACTTAAAATACTTCTGAAGGAAGCATTCTTCCCATACTTTTAATCAAATCTCTGAGGAAAAATCTCAACACAGAGAATGAAGGATCAAACCTCAGAGGAATAGCCTAGGCTTATCAGGTAGAATTGATTGCTCGCATTTCCCCCCTTGCAGCCTCTGTTGCTG